ACCACGCGACATCCGCCCAGGGGCAAGAACATTCGCATGTTATATAGGTTATAATACTTTGCCAAAAAACATGCAATAGAAGAACAATATCAATAACTTCAGCCAAACGGCCGAATGATTTTAAATTAAAAGGCCCAATCGCCACCAGACGACTGGGCAAGAATGTTTGCTGGCAAAGCCAGAAAAATTGTCAAATTACCCGACCCCTCGGTCGGTAAAGATACATGGATAATCGGCACGCAGGCCGGAAGATGAAATGTATGGCCATTCGGCCGCAGAAATAACTACTAAAAAGCTTCAAGGGGCAGAGGGATTATCAGCATTGGCAGCCACGTTTTCACCTGTCGGCTGCTCTTCATTTTCCTCATTCTCCTCTTCCCTGTCCTCGTCCCCGGAAGAGCCTGAAGAAGAGTCGGACTCTTCACCCTCAGCTTCAGCCTGATGAAGGAGTTCAGCATTGAAATCCTCGTTTGCTTGATCAAACTTGGACTTCCAGATGCTAAAATCAACACCCGGTTGTACCGCCTCCCATGCCGTCCGCATGATGGTTTCATAGTCTTCCATCATTTGTTTGAAAAGGGCCTGCTTCTCCTCCTCCGCCCGGGACTCGAACTTGGCCTTCAGCTGCGCCTCCTGGTTCTCCAGGCAGCCAACCCGCTCCTTGGCCCTCTCGGCCTCTTTCTTGGCCTCTTGAAGAGGCTAAAGCTTTTCCTTGAGGCCTTTAATCTCGGCCTTGAGGTTGTTAATTTTGGAGCGGGCTGAATCCAAGTCCTTCTTCACCTGCAGGTTGGCGTCCGCCTGGAAATACATCATATCAAGGGTCAGAAGCTCATTCTGAGCAATTTCAAATTGAGCTCGGTCTAAGGCGGACTCGGCTCGAGCTTTAGCGGCTGTTACCTCTTTAGACTTCTCCTGGATCGACCTTCTTAGCCCTTGAACGCGCAGCATGGCCTGGAAACAAGCAAAGAGCCGAATGGTCAAGACCAGTTGGATATGTGCTTAAACATTAAGGAAAGTTGAGATAACTTGTTTACCTCGCAGAGGTTCCCCAAGATGGCATCCAAGTTAAGGGTGCCGACTCCTCTCACGGATGTCTTGTCCTCAGGATCAAGCGCCCTCAGCATCTCCTTGGCCATCTGGACAACGGTCGGCCTTTGCACAGGAGCTGCAAAATTATAAGTCAGTCAAGAAAACTCAATGAAACTATCTTGCTGATGAAATTCAACAAAGATGCAACTTATACCGTCCGGGTGAGTCTCCTCCCCATGATGCCTCTTCTCTCCTGCTGAGCCGACAGCAGTGCTGGGTTGCTTAAAGCCACCCTTCGATGCCTGAGTAGCACCCGGTTTGCTGACCTCCCTGCCAGCTTCGAGAGTAGAGCCTTCCCCTCTCTTGGACTTTTGAGCAATGTGTTTCCGGTTTTTGTCGGATGCACTCGCATCACCCGCCCCAGTTTTTTTGAATTTTGGGTTGGGATTGTTTGGAGGGAGAAGGCCTGATGGAACCACTCTGTTTGGACGAAAAGAAAGGTTTCGGAAAAGCATGCGGACAAAACTTAATCTTTTTTGAAAAATATTCCAAGTATCATAAACAACTACCTTGGGAGTTCCGGCTGCTTTCTGCTCGTCATTCGCCCTGTTGAGGACGTTGGTGCGGTACTTTGCTGCAAAGACGGCAGATGGCTTCTTTGTTACCGAGAGCTTTTCCATCGCTTTGTTTGCACCAAAAGAAAGAGTTAGGTTTTATAAACAAACATTGAAAAACAACTTTAAGTTTGCACAAGATTAGACGACCGACTACCTTTCGGCATCTCAGAACTTAGCCCACAAGCGGCCAAGTACACCCCATCTTCTAGCCACTTGTAAAGGGGAATGTAGCTCTGGGGGACGATTATTTTCTCCCCATTCTCGTTTGTCCGAACGGACACATTAAACAGATCCCTGTCAAAAATTTCCTCCTGGGCGCGCCTAGGGAGAGGGGGCAAGGCGCTTTTGCCAGCCAGGAGGGGCGGATCCTTGTTCCACCTATTATATTTTTGGTTCAGTCGGCTTTCAGAGGAATGGGCAATGTAGAACTTTGTTCTCCAGTCCTTCCATTTGTTCTCCTTGTCGACTGCCATCATGTACCCCTTTCAGGTGGACAAGGTGTACCAGCCTTCGCTGCCCTTGGCAAGCGCTCGGCTAAGATAGTGCATGTGGGCGAATGCCTCAAAGCTGGGATCCACCTCCAGCATTTCACATGCGGAAACGTACCCGATAATATTGATTCAGGAATTCGGTACGAGTTGCCAGATACCCAGCTGGTATCCGTCCAAAATCCTCTCCACGGCCGAATGAAGAGGGAAGCGTAAACCAGCCTAAAGGACCGCCTCGTAGCAGCCAAAGGCTTGGTCCTTATAACTGGCCAGGGAGGGCCAGGTTATAGTATCCTCCTTGTTGGGGACATACAAGGAAAAGCCATGCCCCATTGCGGTCTTGCGCCTGAAATTGGCAAGACCGGATGTCATAGAGGTCCGCTTGCTTTGCGGAACATGGTGATAGTAGGGAGCGCGTTCTAGGCACCTGGAAGCACTCGGCTCCGCCCAATCTTCCCCTTTTTCTACTGACAAGGATTCCCTTGTAGTTTCTATTTTTGCTCGGGCCTCCTCTAAGTTAACTGGGGCACTATCAAAAGATGACGAGGCCGAATCATCATCGCAGCTATCCCCAGAGCTAAGGGCCTGCCGGCTAGGGCCAGCAGGGTCTTCCCCTATACTCTCCTCCGACGCCTGTTCTGAAGGCTCGGACTGGTACTGACTGTCGGCTTCCCTTAGAATAGTATCACTAGGGGTGCCGCTTGAAGAAAGGGGAGAATAGTATGTTGGAGTTTGGGGAGGGTCAGAAGAAGGGTTTGGGGGGTGCTCAGAAATTTTGCTAACTAGCACCCTAATGGAGCCGCCTGAATTTGGAGTCTCACTGTCCGAATGGTAAAAGGAACCATCCGGCCTATATCTCCTTGCTGTCTGCTTTATTCGAGCCATCGTGTCCTGCAGATGCACAGACACTGTCGGATTTGGAGATGCACTTAAAGGAAAGTTCTCGAACGAGCATTCGGCACTCCTAGTTCTAGATTCAGCCGTACCTGGTGACCGACTGATCACTAACCTAGGTCGTGCCGTGTACGTTTGGGAAACCATTTGCATAAATGAAAAACGCAAGAAAAAATAAAAGAAAAAGTATGCGGTTACCTTAGAAGAATAATATTTCTTTTTTAAAACGAGTAATCCAAATAAAAAGTCTATTTTTTGCATTTTCATTCATGAATTCCTTTCGAAACTTTTAGTTCAAATTTTTTTTTATTAGCCTAGTTTTTGTTCTTAATTCTAACTTAAATTCTAACGTAACTTGTTATATTCTAGTCAATTTTGAGGCGCCTGGTTGGCTGAAGCAGTCTGTCAGAAAAGCCGAGTGTCGGATGCTTGACAAAAATCAAGATCTTTAAGTCTTTGAGAGTCAAAATTCCAGAGATTCTCCAAGATTCGCTAAGGTGTGAAAACGAAAATGAAGTCAAACCCTCCTACTTATAGAAAGGGGAAACCCTAGTTTTTCCCCAAAAAATACAATTTGAAAATCCAGCCAGTCAGATGAAGACACCTGTCACAGGTGCCACGTGCAATACACGTGACCCCTGTGAGGGGCAAATGATTTGGGTATTTTATACCCTGCCAAGTGGCCCAATCAGAGCATGGCACATGTCACTGGAAGGGGCACCTACTTGGACCTTCCAGATGGTGACACGTGTTGAGCAGATATTGCCCCCTGGGAATGGCGGCTTTCAAGGCCCAAATCCCAAGGGGCCCTTAAAAAACGGCGTGCCCTAATCCCTAGGTCACCAGATCCTAGGGAGGGCACACTTTCCAAAAGGACCCTATAAATAGGGACATTCTTACATTTATGACAGGACAGAGAAAAAGAGAGAGATATACTCGCACCACGAGACAATACGTCACTTACTACAGAGTTGTCATTTTCAAAGAACAGACATCACTTTACTTGAGCTTGGAATCCGAGCAGATAACTTTACTTCCGCACGTTTTATTACCGAACGTTTACTAACTTAATCTTCGGAGGCGGACCACCGACCATTCGGCGGTCCGTTTGCTTTGCAGGTACAGGCGTCCTTTGGTTAATTCCAGTCTCAGTGTTGTAACTCTCCCGAGGGACAAAAACCCCCGAAACACTGACATGTTCACTTTTTATTATTAAATGTTCATTTTTTTACGTGTTCATTTTTTATTACTGAATATTTTTTTTACATATTCATTTTTCTAACTAAACGTTCATTTTTTTTATTAAATGTTTATTTTTTTCATGTTCATTTTTTTCAACTAAATGTTCATTTTATGGAGCGTGGTGTTGATTTGTGCGGATCGCGGACATGCTGTCTTGGTTATTTGATTTGGCCGCGTGTTTTGGGCCTCCCCTTGTTGTAGCTATCTTAGTTGCACTAGGATGCAGCTAAGACCTATTGGGGAACTACAAAAGGGTGAGATTTTGAAACTTTGCCTTACTGTGTGCTTGGGTTAATGATTCGGTTGAGCCTTTTCTAGTACGGAGTAGTATAAGAAATTCTATAAGAAGGTTCTTTGGTTGAGGCCCTTAACACTTATGACCGTGAAACGAGTAATCCATGGATATGAATCAAATAATCAACAAGGAACATATGGGAACAAAAAATATTTATATATTGAAATGTATTATTAATCTATTACAAAATTTCATATGTGATTAACCACATCATGTGGCCGGGGCTACTTAGTCAATGGTTACTTAGTCAGTAATAAGGAGTTACTTAGTTGGTGGTTACTCGGTGGGTAAGGGGCTACTCGATCCGGGGTTGCTCGGTTAGAATTTTAGTATGTGTTAGCTAGCCACACTAAAAGCACACGGGTTTTAGTCCCATTTGGGACAAGTGAACAGCCTTGGTGGCAGTCCAAAAATGATCGCTCAACAAAAATAGAACGCGCGGGTCCACAAATGCTAAATCAAGAGTGAAACCTGAACCCTGCATAAGTGTCAAAAACTCAAAACAGTTCGGCTTATTCAAGGTACCGCCTGTAGCCGCTTTCATGTAATCCCTTTCTCAAAATTCCCGAACTCAAAATTGCACAATGCTAAGCTGCAAGAGATTCCTGCAGAAACCCATTAAACGAAAGAACAAAAAGAAGCAAAACAAGAAGAAATCAAGAACAACACCTAACAAAAATGGCTCTAATTTTCGAAAAACCCAACAACCTACTCATAGTTTTGAAGAAGATGAACCAGAAGAAGGTGGTTTTAGGCTAAGAACTTCTGCACCTTCAAATAATCATGGAGTTCAACCATTGGGTAATCTTTTTCTCAGCTCAAATTCTCATAATTCCAGAGACATTGGCTTAGGTAATTTGAAAGTTCTTACTGATGAACTTGTTCTTGAGATTTTAGGGTTTTTGGATGCTAATTATTTAGGGATTTTAGCTACTGTTAGTAAATCTTTATATGTATTTAGTACCCATGAACCCCTTTGGAGGGATTTGGTATTGGAAACCCTTAAAGGTGGATTTTTGTATAATGGGTCATGGAGAAAAACTTGTATTGCTGCTCATTACCCATGTTTTGATAATTCAAAAATTGGGTCTTGTGGGTTGGGAATTAGGGATTTTTATTCTGATTTTCTGTTTCAAAGTTGGTTATGTGCTAATCTTGAGATGAAACATGAGTGGCTACAGAGGGATAACATACCGCGAAGGCGGGGGATTTCAGTTGAGGAATTTATAAAAGATTTTGAGGAGCCTAATAAGCCTGTGTTGTTGGAAGGTTGCTTGGATAGCTGGGTTGCAAAGGATAAATGGGATAAGGATTATTTGATTAAAAGTTGTGGTGATGTTAAGTTTTCGGTTGGTCCAGTTGAAATGAAGCTTGAGGATTACTTTAGGTATTCTGACCTTACTAGGGAAGAGAGACCCTTGTATTTGTTTGATCCTAAGTTTGCAGAGAAAGTTCCGACATTGGGTAGAGAGTATGAAGTTCCTATATACTTTAGGGAGGATTTATTTTCTGTTTTGGGTAAAGAGAGGCCTGATTACAGATGGATAATAATTGGACCTGCTGGGTCGGGTTCTTCGTTTCATATTGATCCTAATTCTACATCAGCTTGGAATGCTGTGATTAAGGGGTCCAAGAAGTGGGTTTTATTTCCTCCTGAGATTGTACCTCCTGGTGTCCATCCTAGCCCTGATGGTGCTGAAGTGGCATGTCCAGTTTCAATAATTGAGTGGTTTATGAATTTTTATGGAGCCACAAAAGATTGGAGGAGGAGACCCATTGAGTGTGTCTGTAAAGCAGGCGAGGTTCTCTTTGTGCCTAATGGATGGTGGCATTTGGTTATCAACTTAGAAGAATCTATTGCTATCACACAGAACTATGTTAGCAGGTATATCTCCCAAATTTCTCTGCTAATCACTATGCAATGTCAAAATGACAAAGTTTACTGTGGCTAGACTAATCAACCCTTTTTTTATTATTGGCTTTCTGTATCTGCTTCCTCAAGTGTTTGAGTGCCTTCTCTAGCTCACCTTAAAATGCTACAATTGTGATAACTTAGTTTTCAAGTTAATGATAGAAGATTATTGTTGATGATTGTAAATTTATTATGATAAATTGCTTATCATTTACAGTTCTTAAAGAATTTAGCAATAGTGTCCACTCTCAAGGAGTAAAGTGGACTCTAGTGAAAGAGTGTATCATATGCATACTTATCAGACTGCTGCCAGATATGTCTACACATAGTATCACTTAGCTTGGTGAAGTGGTGAACCATTTTCTTTTTTCCCTTTGTTTCCTCTCATTAGTATAGACAAATTAAAAAGAAATAAGTGATGGCATTTTGCTGTAAGTAAACCATATCCTCCTAGTTGATGGTACAGAATTTCTTTATTAAATCAACATTTTGATTTTGTAAGCATAACCTGCTGAAATATCTTTTTATTTGGGCTGCCCTCATTATAATAATTCAATATGTTTTCTCTATTGAGGATTAGAGAATCTTGCTTTGCATAATTCTTAGCTATCTAGCTGGAAAAGTGTTAGTATGTGTACGGTTGCTGAAAAAAATGAATTGAGATGAAAAGGTTTTACTCTTCCATATATGTTAAGTTGTTGATTCCTAGAACTAAGACATGTCCACTTTTCTCATTGTGCCAATTTAATTTTTATCGTTTTGCTGCTATGTGATTATAACTCATTCCGAGTGCACATGTTCTGATCTATGTTATAGTCCTATCGGTTGCTAGTTTGCTACTTGATATTTATATTATGTATAATCCTATAATTGTTGTTTGATATTTATATTATGGTCCTCTACTGTGAGGGGGTAGGGGTGTAGCTCCATACCTCAAAAATTACTGCTTACCTGGAAACTTTTGATCAAAAACTTGTCATCTACCAGAACACTGTCTAATCTCATTCCATTACTTTTCATCATGTTTTTGAAAGTGTAATCACTCTCTAGTCATAGTAGACAATTAAGGTAGCAATTCAATCAACTTATTATGTAATAATAGTAATTAGTTTGGCCATTTGTGGGCAACCCAATAATTGACAAGTTCTTATAAGGGTAAGTTGGGTCCTGGCCTATTGGAGGAGGCAACAAAGTTGAGTCATTTGAGTTTATTGAACTAAATCAATTTAGATGTCATACTGGTGCAGCATTCTTTCTGACTCTAACGAGGCTTCTAGCTTGGACAGGATAGGGGCTGGCAGTGTATAAGTAGGAGTGCCTAGGCACTGAAGCCCAAGGTGACATGGGCAGTGTACCTTTTTTGGTATGTCTCCAGAGGGGCACTATGCCTAGACGCTCCAGAGTCCAGATGTCGCACATGTTTTCTCCAGATTTTTTTTCACTTTTTATTTAATGCGCAAATGTTCCTCACTTTAATGAGATGAAATACCTATCACCTTGGTGCGCCTTGAGCCTTTTTATTCCTTGGGGGCTGGTCAGATGTGCTTGTATTTGCCCATATTATTGCATTGAGGCTTTTACTGCCAAGTCATCCTTGGGTCTGAGAATCTTCTTTTTGACACAACCTATACAAGAGTCAAGAGCAATAATACCATTTTATTTTCAAGGAGAACAGAAGCTAAGAATGTCCAATTGATATCAAGTGTGGCTGTTCAAAGTTAAGTACAGAATAAATAAATAAATAAAGACATCCAGATTCTATAAATTGAATCGCTAATTGAAATTCTATCCTTACATTGTTCTGGGATTGCCATGAGAGACTGTCCAGCTTGTCTTCAAGTACATATTATCTTTATAAATTTGGCTTTAGTATGATTGCTGTCTGCTCGTGTTATTCAAGTTTACTTTGCTATGCATGCCTTGAGAAGTCAAGAATGCAAGAATTGTTCTTATATGGTAATTGGTATTAAGACTTGTATAAGCCACTGCAGAGCTTCACTGCTCCTAAGTGATGAATCATGTGACATTTTTCTTATCTTGCCTCATCAGGAGAAATTTGCTGAATGTATTGGAATTCCTCCAGAAGCCAAATGCGAGTGAACTTGTATCAGGAACAAGGGACCGTGTCAATCTGCACAATAAGTTCAAAGAAGCTATTGAGTTTGCTTTTCCTGGGACTATAGATCAGCTAGTGACTAAAGCTGAAGAAATGAAGAAGAAACGTCCATTTTGGGAAACTGTTTCAGATTCTAATGCTGGAGCTTTCAAGTTTTCCTTCTTAGGCTAGACTATGCAGGTTTTGGGTTGCTGGACACATAATCTGGTGGTGAGCTTATATATTGATATCTTACTCTGGTATATTCATTTAAGTTCATTTTCAGGATTCCTTTTTATTGTCAATTATTTACTTTAAAAAAATTTCTGATATGATCATATTACAGTCAATTTTGTTTCAGTATAATTATGTCTTTCTTTCCTTGTCTCCATTATTCTTTTGTCCTTGGCTGTCATCAGTTTTTTGGAAGGAATTTCTTAATACAATTCCAAGGTTTGCTTGATCTTGTATTGCAATAGTTCTTCTGATGCGTCTGTAAAACAAATTGCCTCATTTCATACATGCTCTTGTGCATCTCAACTCTCAATGAAAGGCTCTGTATCTCTGTAGGCAATAGTAAAATTTTGAATAAGCTCCAAAAATTGTTCTTTCTAGACGGTGCTATTTGGGTGTAATGTCTACATAGAAAGAATTGTACTTTCTTGTTCACAAGGAAAAAGTTGAATTTGTGAAAAACTTCAATGTAACATAAAAAATTGTCATTAATCAGCGTTCACACACGTGGGATATTTCCTTGTTCACCGGTAGTTCGATAATTCTACGGTGTTGCGAATTCTTTCCGCTGAGCACCCTCTGTGTACAATGGATGATTTTGTTTATTGGAAGTTTACTCGTGATGGCCAATTTTCTATAAGGTCAGCATATGTATTGCTAGTTCATGGCCTCTGGAGTTTCTAGCTTTTGATCCCTAGTAGAGACGGTTTTGGGAATTGCCTCTCCTCCCGAAGTTGGAAGTTTTTTTGCTGGAAAAATACTACACACCACTGCCTCTGGGACTGCTCTAAGTTTATGAGGTTTTTGGTAAATCCTACATGTGTGTTCTCTGTCTATGTCTATTTCGCCTTCCGAGAGATGGTTTAGGGATTTGGTGTCTGTGTTTCGCAAATCTAGAAATTGGTAGGGTTTGCTATCTTTGGTCTATTTGGTTAACTCATAATCAAATCATCTTCAAAGGTGCTATCTCCCATCTTTCGAAGGAGTGGATATCTCGCAGCATGCAAGTTGGGTTATTTACTCTAAATCGCAATTCTCACAACTCGCTCAGTCTCATTTTCCCAAAGATCCTTATTTCAGATGCCTCAGGGGATCCATTGATGGTTCTCTTGATTACTGCCTCATTTTGGATGGAGCTTGGAGTAATCAAGATGATAGTGCAGGGCTGGTTGGATTTTGCGAAGGATCAATTCAACTACTGGTGGATGTGCCCGGCAGGCCACACCATGTTTGCTCTTCCTTATTTATGGGGCCTTCGACTGGCTAGTAGTAGGGAGTATATTCGACTTCTCATTTACACCAACTGTGCTTCATTGGTGTCCCTCCCATAGTCCCATAAATGAAAATTTCAATTTAGATAGATCATTTTTCTTTTTAAAGCCTGTTTTAATTTATTGAACTGAATTTATTGGAGCTGAACGAACTGAATATTTTATAAGAGAAGGACATTAAGATAAGAACTGAATTGAACTGAACTTATTGGAGCTGAACTGAACTGGAAATAAGCAGAAGAGAACATACCCATAGTTAATATATCTCTCCTATCACATATGTACGAGCAAGCCCCAGTTACTCAGCCTGAGTAACGAAATTTGTTACTCAAGTGGCATATGTTGTAATTTTACACAAATTTTTTTTTATTATTAATTTTTTTTTAAAAAAAAACCTTCGTCTTCTTGGAGAACGTTGAGTGCGCTTCAGGGCTTCACCACCACCACCAGTTTGCGCTTTACCACCATTACCCTTCGTCTTCTCCGTTTCCCGTCTTCGTTACAGACACCAACACCATCGTCGTTATTCGTCTTTTGTCACAACCACCACCACCACCATCTTCGTCTGAACCACCGTCCACCGACGATCTCTGATCTTCTTCCCCGTTGTCCCCCTTTTCTTCTTCCTTCCTCGATAACAATGGCTTCAAGCCCTAAACGCCGCTTTGCGGCGAAACAAAACGAAACCCTAGGAACAAATAGTTTTAATTAGGGCCATATCAACCCCTTAGGGCTAGCATCTTGTTCCGGCGAAGGTGTTACTCTTGCGGAGGGAAGGAGAAAGAACGGTGGAGAAGAAGAAGGGTACTACTAGGGCCAAGGATTACTGGTGGGAGAATGGAGGAAGAAGGAGGGTGTTGTTGAGGATGGAAGGAACTCATCCATTGCTATGAAATATGCTGTGGACGTTTTTACCCCCAACTTAAAAGCACGAAATTACATCCGTGCCCCTTGAGTTACATTTGTTGTTACTCAGGATGAGTAACTTGTATTTCATGCATATGTACCCTCTTAATTTTTCTTTCTATCACTCTTTACTCTAACATGTTGTCTTGGAGTCCTCAATTACAAAAGTGATACATCTAATAAAAAACAGAGGAATAAAATATATACTGTCAATTTGATAAAATATATTGTCAAATTCTAGCTTATGAACTTTAAAATTTTATTTTTATACATTAAGCCGTAAATCTTTTGACTCATGACAAAGTTTTATACTCCCTCCATTTTTAAATACTTGCTCCACTTTCCTTTTTCGGCCGTTTTTAAATACTTGCTCCATTTCCTCTTTTGGAAAGCTTTTATAATATTTAAATCATTTCTCATACTTAGTGGACCTAATATAATACTTTCTCTCCTCATATTCTTCCACTACTTTTGTTTTTTATAATTTTTTATTTTCTCAACTACCCCACTACCTCCATATTTTATTACTTTCTTCCATTTCTCCTAAAACTCCGCGTATGGAGAAATGGAGCAATTATTTAAAAACGGAGGGAGTATGTGGCTTGCCATACCGTCCACCAGACACAATTTTATTTTTTTTATTTTCTCTCTCCTCTCGTCTCATTTTCTCTAAGAAACAATCAAAAAAATCTGCAACCATTTCTCTCTCCTATCTCCTCTCCTCTAATTTTCTCTAAGAAACAATCAAAAAAATTTTGCAACCATCATTTGTCGGCAATGATCGGAGCTTTACCTTTTTCAATTGAAGAAGGAATTGCAGGATCTAGGGTTACGGTTTTCAATTTCAATCGTCGATAGTCGTGGATGGTTTGTTCGTCAGTGGTGTTGGTTACGTTTTTGGTGGTTTCCAGGGTGGTATTTCGTCAGTGGTGTTGATTACGTTTTTGGTGTTTTTAGGTGGTTTCAAGGGTGGTTTCGGTGTGGGTAGAAGTAGTTCGTTGGTGGTGGTTTCGCTGAGTGGGTAGTGGTGGTTTGTTGGTGGTTTCGTTGTGGGTAGAAGTGGTAGTTTCTTACATTTTTGTTTAAATGATTCTATACGAAATATTTCATTCCAGTTTTTGGGTGTTGTTGAATGTTTAGTTTTGATTTACTAATTGGGTATTGTTGCTTTTTCAATTGAATTGATTTTTGGGTTATTGCCTTATTAAGGTGGGCATCGTGTCGTGTCGGACTGTCGCGGGCCGTGCCGTGCCAAATTTTGGCACACCCCAACCCAAAGCACGGCCCACGTGCCTGGCGGGCCGTGCCGTGCCGGGCTGCAGGCCAACCCGTATTTTTTTTATATAAATATATATGTATATAAAAAAAATCAATATATATATATATATATTGAACAACTTTAATTTAATTAAGTTTGTATAAATAAACTTATTTATTTATTTATTACATAAGTTCATATAATTAAACTTAACTAAATAAGTTTTAATATAATTGGGCATGGGCCGTGCCACGAAAGCGTTTCGGCGCGCCGACGATCGTGCCGTCCGTCGAGCCCGTGTCAGATATCAATTTTTTGTTCACGGCACAGCCAAGGCCCACAAGTGGGCCACCGTGCCGTGCCAGAGTCATGTCAGGACCGTGCCCGCACGACCCGTGCTCATCTTTACTTATTGGGTTGTATTTGAACTGAATTTGCATTTTTGGGAGATGGATTATTGGAATTTCATGGCTATTGTTTCTATTTTAAGCTCACTTGGTTAGAGGTTACTTGGGGGTTACTAGGGGTTACTTACTTGGTTAGTGGTTACTAGATGGGTTGCTTGAAGGGTTATTTGAGGGGTTACTTAAGTGGAGTTACTTGGGTTACTAAAGAGGTTACTCGATGGGTTACTAAGGGGTTACTTAAGTGGGGTTACTAAAGAGGTTACTCAAGGGGTTACTTAAGGGGTTACTCGAGAGGTTACTCGTGTGTTAGTAGCTGGTCATACCGTATAACCAGCCACACACAAAACATGTTGTTTACTCATACGGTAAATATTTAGATAAAATCTTTATTAACAAAAGATAAAATTTTATTTTTAATAATAATATTTTTATTTGTGAGCTTTTATAGTGAATTCTAATTCATTATGTCTTCAAGCAATTCAAAATCCCATTGCAATAGTTCAAGTTCTACTCATCAACTTAGACGTAAAGGTTGAATTTTTTTTTAAGAGTTTGGACAAATCTAAACTTTACTTTATTTTAATTTAATTCATTCAATTTAATTAATATTTTATTGAAGTTACCAACGATTTATTTATGATAGAGGCATAGAGAAATTTTAAGGAGCGTGCACATTGTAAGTAATTAATTTTTTTAATTACTCTTTTTTTTTGGGCTATTATCACGATTGGATTATTTTGAATGCTTTGAGTAATTAATGTTTGTAATGTTGCGTCCCATATTTATGTCATATCCCTATCTCTACCTTAATAAAGTACAAAAAAAAAAAAAAAAAAACTCTTATAAATAGTGTGCTGCCAATTATATCCTTTAAAATGAGCATTTACATGTTTATCCTTATTATTATGTACAAATTTTTATTTTGTGTTCATTAATGTTAATTGCCTTTTATTTTTCCTTCATTAATGTTAAATGCCTTTTTTTTTATTTATTTTTTTTATAACTATTTTCCCTTATTAGTGTAACCAGAAAAAGCTCCCGAATATTTTATATGTTTGATAACCCTTTTGCATGTTTGATTTAGAATATGTAATTAAAAACCACGACTAATATAGTTTTGAAGTGATCACGATGTGGAAAATTTTATGTGCATTAAATATTCATCCAACATAGTAATATTAGTTTGTAGCTAATTGAGCTTTATTTGCATGTCAATCAAATTGCAAAAGAATATTTTTTGCAATAAGAATAGAGGCCAATACGGGCGGAATTGTCTCCATGACTCGATTTTTACTATCACCCACGATCCTCTAGT